AATTAAAGTCAGAATTCTGAGAAATTAAAGTCAGAATTCTGACTTTTTTCCCCATGTTAAACTGAAATAAAGTTTAAATATCAGTTCACTTTTTTTTTTCTATGGCCCTAATCCTCTTCCGTAGATGTTACTGCCGACATATCCAACTAATATCTCAATGCTGCTGCCTTTTTACAATCAGAGCCAATGTGAGGACTGACCACCTTAACCTGGCCTCTTATCTGCTATCTGTTCCATGCAGGACAATGCAGACCCCATCCTTCTGGGAGATCATGACATCGCCCTGGCGTCCATAGAGAAAGTGGTTGCTGGTGAGTAATGCCTTTAAACATATGGAGCGAATTTTCTCCCATTATTGTTGCAAACAAAGAAAATGTTTCGTAGATGGAAATTTGAACAAAGAAAAAAATTACTCTTCAGAAAAAAAATTTCATCAAGAACTTCAACACTGTTTTATCAGATTCTATTTAAAAATACCGTAAATCCTCTAATATTGGCCTGTATTCCATAAGCGGCCGGGACTCTAACAATGGCCGGTCTCGCTGTCGGCAGAGCTATAATTAGAACCAATAATGTTTCTGGGCAGTCTTGTGATAGTAACATACATGTACCACAGGGGGGCAGTGTTCGCTAACGAATCAGAACCATTAGCATGAGAAGTCCCATGCTTACACAGAGATCGTAGTGGCCTTACACAACTGTTTCAACCTGAAAGACACATGTGATAACGGGTAGATTTGGTGGTAACCAGGCAACTTAGCTACGGTAGCTTGGTCATCAACTTGCTCTTGACTCGAAAAATGAGACTTCAGTTTTCAGTTTAGCATGGCAGCGAAGAGACGAAAATCTCGTTTTTATTTATTCCACTGGTAGTCTGTTTTGCTCAGATAAAAATAGAGGCCTGCCTCTAATTCTGGCCTCCTTCCAATAATGACCTGGATCAAGATGCACCTGAGTGAAATAAAGGCCCCGTCCTATATTAGAGGATTTACGGTATATATTTTTTAATTTTTCCAACGTCTCTCTTTTAGATTATTCTACAGATTGAATTCTTTCAAACGACCTTTTACAGTTTAAATTCTCTTCACTTCACATTTCCGCAATAGAATGTTAAAACTGGTCTCATTTATATTAATTATGTCATATTTTTCATTTTAACAATAAGTAGCTGTATCTAAGGTTTCTTTTTTTTGGGACAAGAATGAGTTCTTACCTGCTGAGCCTTGATTTATCTGATGACATGTTTGTGAACGTCTTGTTAAAAGGGAGTTTTTCCTCTCCACTGTCGCTACAAGCATGCTTGGTGTGAAGGATTGTCTACGAGTCAATTAGTCGATGGAATCAACTGGTTTTCCTTAGATGGAAAACTTTGAATCAATGGATGATCTGGTGAATTGTAAAGTGCCTTAAGATGACATGTGTTTTGAATTGGTTTTATAGAAATAAACTGAATTGAATTTAATTAAATGGAAAATTCACTTTTCTTTGCTTAAAATAATAATGGACCAAACTGAATTCCATACAAACCACCCAGTGGTTGCCTGCTTCTCGCCATGACCTCCTTCATTGGTTGGTGTTTTAATGCTTCTGCTGTGACATCATCTAAAGCTGATGCTTGTGCTTTATAGTCGCCCTTTTTTCCACTGAATGTTTAACATTTTGACCCTGCTGGATGTTTCAGTTGGACCCAACAGGACCAAACTGGTGACCCCAAACTCCTCCTTGAAGTTCACTCCAGAGGAACTGGTCCTTTACTGCCGGGACATGCGAGTCATGTGCTTCCTGTTTGACCGCCTGACTCCTGACGCGCAGGTCATAGAGGTGTGTTGATTTATTTATTTTTTAAATCTCTCGTTTGGTTTATGACAGCAATGATACACACCCAGAGACCTGACACAGATCTGCCTTATCAGACAGCGAGAAATGAAAGTGATCACTCCTTCAAGGTCAACCCTGGATTCCTGTTCGCTGCCTTTTTATGCACCTTTACTTTGTTTTTATTGACTATCTAGAGTGGCTGTTTACCTTCAGATTAAAGCTGAGGTCACTCATCAATCATCTAAAAGCCACTAGAGGTCAGAATAAAGATTCTAACCAGCGTCATGCCCTCTGGTCAGCCACTGCGGGGCCTCCCTGCTGACAGCTGATGACCTTATTGTCCTGTTTATGGGCTCACTGTGGTTTCCCTCCTCAGATAACCTTCACCATCGCCAAGACCTACCAGCCTCTGAGACCCGGGTCCGTTTTATCTTTCCAGAACGCCGCCCTTGGGAGTGTGGGTAAGTGGTTTACTGAACACGACCGCTCAGCGGGCTTCCTGGAACTGACACCAGATCCCAGCTTTTCCTTTAATGTTCTTTGATTATTTTGACTCCTCAAATGTAAATGGATTAGAATTCAGTTCATTGGTCAGATTAATTTACCAAATGGAGCACCTCTGGCCATTTTGGTATTATCTTCTTTTTTTCACTGTGAAACAATTCTTCTATTTACAACAGAGATAAAAAAAAAAAAAAACAGCTGCATACATAAATTCTTAGTTTTTTTTTTACAAACCGGTTCAAAAATACTCCTGCTGCCTCTAATCAGGGGTTAAATGTCATTTTGCATTTTGGTTCATCTTTCTTTAAGCCTTGATTGTGGTTTTGGATTAAATCTGTCCACTTGCAGCTTAATTTCTTTTAGAGATGAAACAATTTGTTTTCATGGTAGAGGGCTATGGAGTGACTTTTGTTCCATTATTGTTACAAACAAAATAATGTAGTAAGAAATTTGAAAGGAAAAAGCAAAACTGTGGAAAATGTCATAACAAAAATGTTTTGAGACCAACTACTGTTTTTTTTCTCATTTTGTTATAATCTTTTCCCCATTTCTTTAAATAGATTTTATATTTTCAATTATATATTTTTTTCCAATTTCTCCAAAACAAAGTTACCCTTAAAACCTTTTTTTATTTAGTCTCATTTCTGGGTTTGATTTAATTTAAAAATTTTTTTTTCAAATTTTCATTTTCAAAGCAATAATGGACCTAAATTAATTTTATACGACTGTAGCTTTACACTTATAGACCATAAATGTTCTCATTTTATTTATCATTTTTCCCCATTTTTTAAAATAGATTTTATATTTTCAATTATATGTTTTTTTTTCAAATTTCTCCAAAACAAAGTTACCCTTAAAACCTTTTTTTTTTTTTTTATTTAGTCTCATTTCTGGGTTTAATTTTAATTGTAATTTTTTTCAAATTTTCATTTTCAAATAATGGACCTAAATTCATTTCATACGACTGTAGCTTTACACTTATAGACCATAAATGTTCTCATTTTATTTATCATTTTTTCCCCATTTTTTAAAATAGATTTTATATTTTCAATTATATATTTTTTCAAATTTCCCCAAAACAAAATTAATCTTAAAACCTTTTTTTTTTTTTTTTAATTTTTTTAAAAAAAAATTAATTTTAAAACCTTTTTTTTTTTTTTTTTTTTTTTTTTTAGATTTTTTTGAAACTCTCATTTCTGGGTTAAATTTTTTTTTTTCAAATTTCCCTTTTCAAAGCAATAATGGAACTAAATTCATTTCATACGGCTGTAGCTTTACACTTATAGACCATAAATCTTCTCATTTTATTTGTTATCATTTTTCCCCATTTTTTAAAATAGATTTTATATTTTCAATTATATATTTTTTTCAAATTTCTCCAAAACAAAGTTACCCTTAAAACCTTTTTTTTGTATTTAGTTTCATTTCTGGGTTTAATTTTAATCTTTTCAAATTTTCATTTTCAAACCAATAATGGACCTAAATTCATTTCATACAACTATAGCTTTACACTTATAGACCGTAAATGTTCAATAAAGTTGAATTCCGAGACAAACCCAGATGTTAGTCTGCTCGATGTTTTCCAAGCTCACTTTTGATGTTTGTTTGGGATCATTGTCCAACAGGAATATCTGCTTGGTTTAGTTATTAGCAATGTGAGCCCGCAGCATCATGCTGCCACTACCATGCTTGACAGTTGGTTCCATGGTTTTTGGCACCCAGAAAGATGTCAGCTGTCGCTAGAACAGCCCAACATGTTTTCTCAGTTCAACAACAGTTGATTATTTTAACAGAAATTATCCGAAACTATTAATAGTGCTTTTTTATTTTCCTTCCACCTCCTCATTCATTGATATGTGAGCGTTTATCAGTTACCATTAACATGTAAAGTGAGTTCATGAGAGAACAAAACACCCCAAGATAATCAATTCTACTTTTATGATGTGTTTTCATTTAGTTTGGCCTCTAAAGATCATTTCATCGTTTTCTCACGTTGCTTTTCGTTCAGGCTAAAAACAGAATGTACTGAAATCTGTGGAGGCGGTCCGTCGGCCATCTCTCTGTCATTCCACCATCTGTAACACCATCTGAGTGCGACGCTGGAACTCAAACTTGTGCAGAATGTAAAATTGGAAACATCATGAAATCTTCGCTGAGCATTATAACGCCTCAAGCTCACATCTTCTCAAGTTGCAGATCTATTGGAATCCTTATGTTAAGTCGCAGCACAATGAAAACATACTGGATTGAAACTTTAACCATATGGGAGGAAATCTGTCAGCGGTCTGAAACCCAGGCATTGATTTAAAGGCTGCATGTAGGAAAGATTAAAACCCTGTATAATCATATCAAAGAGGTAGAATTATTTTAAATACAGCTATTCGGTTAAAAACAGGCCTGAGAAGTTTGGTTTCTAAATGAGCTGCGGGATGCTTTCTGTAGCCATGTATGGAAACATGAGCCCCTCTATAGCAAGGGATGCTAAAGCTACGCTACGTTAGGCTGGCCTCTGTGGACGACTGTTCGCTCTTAGATTAATAATTCATCCCCCTTCAGCATCAAGTAGTTAGATAACCTGGAGTTCAACTCTGCCCCGAAGGGTTAAGTGTGTCTGTTCAGCTTCTTCGGTGTGAAATGCTGCTGCAGTCGGTCTGGAAGGATTTATATAGAAATGATGCAGAGAAAATCACTGGTTTCACTGGTTAAAAACTTGTTAAAAAATAAGTTTTAAGTTCAGTTCACACAGATGAAAATGAACTAAGTTCACAAACCTATAATTGAACTAGTTCAAGTTCATTTGGTAAATGAAGCCACAGTTCTACAAAATAGAGCCTCATATTTCACCCTTTAAATGTGTGATTATAATATATAGAAATAAATGGAGAATACTGGATGCACTTAAAGGAATAGTACACCCAAAACATGATTAGCCTTCATTTTCTACTCACCCCCATGCTGAACAACACTCTGGAGTACTTTTTTGATATCTCAAA